CTGGTCTTAATCTGCCTCTCCGGTCCGAGCTGGATTTAACCCACTCCTGATCCACATCAGATGTTTCCTGTGTTTCGGGACATCAGGCTGATCCTGGATCTGTCAGAGTCACTCCTTCTTCTGATTACGTCCCCACAGCTGAAAATACTCTGCTCTGTTTGTCCTCTCAGACCAGTGTGTTCCTCCTCACACCAGTTCACACGAACCCTTCCTGTGTTTTAATTACTTCCCGCTGCCTTTCACCTGTGACCAGCTTTCATTCACATTGACAAAACTAAAAACAGATATATTTAATTTACAGTAATATTTCTTCTATAAAGATGCAAATGAATAATTTTCAGTCTTTCATTTTAACATCATTCTTAAGTCAAACTAAAAATCCCACAGAGAGCGTGCAGAAGAAGAGAAATTGAGTTTAATAAGAAGATTCTTCATGAAAACGATTCTTAGAAGTGGAGCGGTCAGTAAAATCTAACAGCAGATGATATCCTGGATCTTTATGAAACCGGCCCTCGTCTCAGCTCACATCACACGATGATGTGGAAACAGCTTAATAATCTGCTTTTAGTTGTCTCCTCTCTCCTTTATTTGTTATAAATCTTTCTGTGCATGTAGCAGGTTTGCAAAGTGAAGAAGCTCCCGTCTCCCACAGAAAACTCTGCTCCTGAACTGAACAGCTGGATTGTGGTCCAGCCTTTCCTTCAGTAACCTCTCTGCGTCACCAGCAGTAACACGCAGCATAATAATAATAATAGTAATATAATAATAGCGGCTAGTGTGGAGAAACACACAGTGACAGGACGTCCGCCTGCTGCCAAAGGTCCAACAGAAGTGAGTTGCTTCTCTCTGGAGCTGAGACGGTGACGCAGGTTGAGAAGAGGAGCTGCAGTCTGACAGAAACATGGTGTTCTTTAAATTAAATCATGGACACCTTTTCTGGAACAACCCTGAAATTATGAACCCTTTAAATGAGGTGGTCGGGATGGACGATGGGCCAGAAACTGGACTTCCCTAAAGAGACCGATGTTCATTTCCTGTTTGGAGCAAAACGTTTAATGTTGACTTTTTATTAAAGTTATGTAACATTATTTAACCCCAAACCATGATCTTTTCATCAACCTTACTAAGATGTTTTGGTGCCTAAACCTGACCAATCCAAAGAAGGTTAAAGTCCAGGGCAGCTGGATACTAGAAGACGTTTCATCCCTCATCCAAAGGACTTCAGTTCAGAAGCGACGGCCTCTCAACCCGGGTGTAGATGCTTCCTTCACACCTCTTTCAAACCATCCATCCTCTCTGTCTAAAATGTGCACCTGGTGGTCCTCAAACAAGTGTCCTCTGTCCTTCAGATATAAGTAACCTTGACCTGAGGAGTTGGATCTTCCTTCCCACAGAAGTTAAACAGCTGAGTTTCCCTGACAGTCAGTCAGAACTGAAGAAGTCTCTTGGATGAGGGATGAAACGTCTTCGAGTATCTTGAACCAAGTCCAGCTGCCCTTGACTTTAACCTTCCTTGGATAACTCTGACCTGGATGACTGAGAACCTTCACAGACACCTAAATCTCACCGACGGTTCACAATGTTTCCACTAGTTTTATTTTGAAAGTCTAACAGGATGTTGCATATTTATTCTTGCTAATTTGACTACATGTCCAAAGGGTAGCCAGTGAGTTCAAATGGGGTCTTGACCGAGCGACCATCTGTGAAGAGCTGGGAGTGCGAAGGCGTTGGTCTGCGCCCCAGTACGACCCTTCCTGTGCAGAAGATCCTGGTCGGAGCACGGGCTGTGAAGCGACTGGAGGAGTGGGACTACACGAGCAGACTCTGGAACACCTTGGAGTGGAGCAGAACACCTTCAGTGCCTCTGACAGCCTCTGGGCCGGAGCCTGCTGTCCCTTCGGTCAGGATGTGATCTTTGTGAACGAGCTCGGTTCAGGAGTGCAGGTGGAGCAGACTCCCGGTCATGGTTAAGCTGTTTCTACGTCCGCCTGGGTCTCGCTGTGGAGGTGAAACGGGGCTCGAACGCACGGCTGTGGTTTCACGTGTCTGGTGTTGAAATGTACTGATTCAGACCTGCAGGACGAGGCGGCCCGAAGCCTCGGCACGAGCAGCTGCTGGTGAAGCAGGACGAGGCCAGTGAACGCAGCACAACGGGGTTTTTAAAAGGTACTTTGAGTGGAGCAGCAGCTGACAGACCTCCGCAACGCTGCGTCTTTCTGTAAACGTGCCGAGACGAACATGAGAGTCTCCTTTTAAATCCTGCTTATGGACTCAAAGGAAAACATTTATAACTCGTCTCTGTGACCAACACAAACGCCGTCTGTCCTCGTCTCCACCTGCTGCTGCTGACGGGAACCACTAAAAATAGGCTCATGAGTCGAGCGGGACGCTGCAGCCACATGACCCGGTTCAGATGCCGCCGCCGTCAGCTGTTGGTCACCCTGCTTCAACAGGTGTGTCCCGCCCCACAGCTCCAAGATTTACGGGCGTTCTCAGGGAATCTTTGCGATTTGGGCTCAAAAATAACTTTAATGAGAAACTGAACATCAACATTTTCTGACAACCACGAGTCAACGAGTCGTCGCTCTCACCAGGTCCTTCGAGTCGGTCTGGAAACTGTAGAGGAATTTTTCATGTGGCCAACAAAAGTACTGTGAAAACAAACAAACAGCCTTCAGACCAACGACAGAGCTGCACTGACCTTCTTTCCATACACGGCTCCCATTCTTCAGCCCTCTGCGGAGGCAGCTTCATAACACCAAACCAAACCTGAGCCGGAAGAGAGTCGGTCTGAGCTGAAGCAGTCAGAGTCTGACCGGGAGGAGGAGGAGGAGGAGTCCTGCCACCTGTTACTGCCTGACTCTCTGCTCTCAGCTGTGAGGAGTTAAGATGCTCTAACTGGATTACTGTAATTGGTACTGACACGGCGAGAGAGAGTCAGAGGAAAAATCTTCAGTCTAAAAGTTTCTCCTGGAATCATTTCTGAAAGTTGTGCAGAATTCCTGCTCACCTGATGTTAGCATGTTGCCCTGTTAGCTTAGCCTAGCTAATGATCAGCTCCCTCTTAGCTGATGTTGAGAGCTTTTCTGTTTGAAGGGGCGATGGACAAGTGGATAAGAAACATGAAGACCTGGGTTTGATTCCCACTGCGACACGTCCACCAACGTGTCCCTGAGCAAGACACTTAACCCGTGGTTGCTCCAGAGGCGTGCGACCTCTGACGTACGAAGCAGCTGTAAGCTAAATGAACAATAAGATTCTTTAAACTCTCGCAGCCAAACGTCACATGACGTCTCTGTAAGATTCTTTTCCTCTCTGTGTGGATCAGCAGGTCTGTCTTTACTTCAGGATTATATTTAGGTGCTGGATCTAATGTCAGGAACGGGCTGCTTGTTGAAGCTGACTGAGCCGTTACCTGCCACTAGATGGCGCTGTTGCTCGACCCAGCAGTCCTGTGAAGGGCTCGACTCCTCGCTGTCAGATCTAAACACTAAACATTGTCTTCATTATTACTGAATAACCTTGTGTTTGAATATCCCAGAACAAATTGTTCTTCACAGGGACGCAAGGAAAAGCTCTTTCTGCAACAACTATTATTATTTGTATTGACATTTGTAGTTTTGCCACAACCATTAAAATGATTTAATATTAATATAAACACTAATATTTTCCTCAGCCCAGTCGAGGCGTTTGATTTCTAACTTCCACTGGCAGACGAGTTTTCCCTGAAGCCCAGAGAAGGCACGTTTAGAGCCTGCAGTACAAGGTCTTGAACCTGACGCCATCAGGCTGAAGGAGGAGTTCTGCCCCCCCCACACAGCAGGCGGGTCTCACGAGGCCGGAGTTGCTGCTGCTGCTTCGGTGGTAACAGAAGCAAAAACTCTGCTGTGGGAGGAGTTTCGAGAGGCAGCGGAGGAGGTCGCCTCAAACAGGTTCTGGCAAACTGTCAGACGACTCCGGAGGGAAGCAGGGATTAACTCAAGCTGAGACTGCTGTCAGACGGTGAAGGATCCCCGAGGAACCGCGGAACCACCACGTCCAAACGGCTCACTCAGCGTTGAGGCGTCCGGGACTGATCTGGGGTCGCGTCTGGGGGCAAGTCTGTAGTGGTTGGTATGAGATCCAGCGGTCAGGATCAGAGCCAGCACTGTTTCAGCAGGAGTTCCTGGAGGATTTACCGGCTGACCGTAGTTCCAACCCTCACCTGTGGTCTTTGGCTGGTGACTAAACTGATGAAAGGAAAGGACTCCTTGGCAGGCGTCTGAGCTCCTCATCCTTACAGACAGGATGAGGAGCTCAGACACTCGGAGGGAACCGTTGCTGGGAACAGCCGGGATCCACCAGGAGGAGCTGCAGGATGAGGCTAGAAGAGGGACGTGGGGACAGAGTAAACCCTGTGTCCAGGTTCCATCTGTATCTGACTGTGGAGGACGTTTCGGAGGGAACACAGAAGGCGTCTTCTGTTGTCGCGCAGCGTGGTTGTGGAAAAGCCCCCGCCGTACGTTTGATGTAGCTGTGTGAAACTAAAAACACAACTTCCTGGAGCCATACCCTAAACCCAACAGGAAGTCGGCCATTTTGAGTATGACATTTGTCTCTTTTTACAGCCTCCGTACTTTAACGAACTCCTCCGACAGCTTTAACCTGAGCGACTTCAAACGTGGGCAGCGCGACCTTAAGGGCCCTGCGTTGTGAAATTGCAAAGCTTTTTTTGATTGATCAAACGGCGTCCATGGCGCGGCGCTGGATTGACCGCCATGAAAAAGGAAGTGGCATGTAAATGGACTAGACGTGGTCAGAAATGTCCCGCGGGGGGGCGAGGGCCTGCAGGGGGGGGCGAGGGCCTGCAGGGGGGGGGCGAGGGCCCGCGGGGGGGCGAGGGCCTGCAGGGGGGGGGCCAGGGCCCGCTCAGCGCTGCTTGCAGCTTTAATTAAACGTGTTTCAGCTTCCTCGATGGTTCCATTAAAGTAAAGGGAATAAATGAAGACAGCACCACTGAATGACTTCACACTGACTGTATTTACGTATTTACACAATAAATAAAATGTCAAAGTAATTACCAACAAGATGGATTTAGATTTGCGGACTGAAACACATCAGGGAGCTGCAGAGTGATCACATGATTTAATATTGCGGTGACTAGTCCACAAACATGGCCGTCACGTCTAGACTCCCCGCGTGCCTCTGGTTACCACTTAGACCAGAGGACACAGTCCGGTCCGGCCTCTACTGGTCTGCGCCGGGCGGGGTCTCCGGCCCGTCCTGGCTCGGCCCCGACATCTGCATGAAGAGCTCCCTCAGCTCCGTGATGTCATCATCGAGAGACGGCAGGGATGCTGGGAGCGACCGCTGCCCGCGCTCCTCGATGAAATCCCACAGACGGACGTTGTTCATGAACTGAAGAGACACAAACGCAAACCACGTTAATAAACGACAGAACAGCTGAAGAACTACAACTCTGAATCACAATGGCGGCGGTTTCTGACCCGGACGTTCCCCTCGGAGCTCAGCTGTTTCCGCGGCCGGTCGGGTTCTGCTCGGGTTCCGTCTGGGAAGGCGTGAAGGTACAAGCACTTCCCTGCGAACGGGCACGAGCCGCGGCCCTGATCGAAGTACTTACAGGCCTTCTTACTGCAGACACAGGAGACGGCCGTCAGTGACCTGGACTTTACTGGTCCTGTATCAGAGGGGCGTTCACCACTCAGCAGAACGCCACCCTGATCAGCTGACACCAAAACACATGATACACCAGGACCAAGAGGAAAAGAAGAACCTAAAGTTTACTGTTCAAACCCCTGAAGAGCGGATCTTTAAAGTGTCGATCCAGACCGGACCGTGTGCAGAACTTAGCGCTCCGTTCTGATGTGCCGTCACACAGGTGAGCTCACCTGACTCCAGACTTGAAGAGCTCTATGAGGTGGTCCTTTTCTTCCTGGTCCTCCACCCAGTAGACCGAAGGGATGACGAACTCTGAGATGACTCTGCACTCTGGACAGGACCTGAGACAGAGACACACATCAGACACTCACAGACCCTGTCCCCGCCTCACAGACCCTCTACTGGCCTCACAGACCCTGTCCCCGCCTCACAGACCCTCTACTGGCCTCACAGACCCTGTCCCCGCCTCACAGACCCTCTACTGGCCTCACAGACCCTGTCCCCGCCTCACAGACCCTGTCCCCGCCTCACAGACCCTCTACTGGACTCACAGACCCTCTACTGGACTCACAGACCCTCTACTGGACTCACAGACCCGGTCCCGCCCCACAGACCCTCTACTGGACTCACAGACCCTCTACTGGCCTCACAGACCCTCTACTGGCCTTACAGACCCTGTCCCCGCCCCACAGACCCTCTACTGGCCTCACAGACCCTGTCCCTGCCCCACAGACCCTCTACTGGCCTCACAGACCCTGTCCCCACCTCACAGACCCTGTCCCCGCCCCACAGACCCTCTACTGGCCTCACAGACCCTCTACTGGCCTCACAGACCCTGTTCCGCCCCACAGACCCTGTCCCGGACTCACAGACCCTGTCCCCGCCTCACAGACCCTGTCCCCGCCTCACAGACCCTGTCCCCGCCTCACAGACCCTGTCCCGGACTCTGGTCCCGCCTGAACGGACCCTTACTTGACGATCTTGTTGCTGAAGTTTCTGGTGCAGCGCCACTGTCGGATGCAGGCCAGACAGAAGGTGTGGCAGCAGGAGGACAGAATACCGAACCTGCGGTCCGACGGGTTCACCTTCTGGACCACCAACTCCATGCAGATAGAACACACCTGAACCACAAAGCACGGTCATCAGATCAGTGAAGACTCTCACGCATCCAGGTCAGAGTTATCCAGAGCAGCTTAAACTCAAGGGCAGCTGGACTCGGTTGAAGACCCTCAAAGACGTTTCGTGCCTCATCCAGGAGGCTTCTTCAGTTCTGACTGGCTGCAGGGAGTCCCAGCTGTTTAACCTCTGTGGGGTCGTCACCAAGGTGATGGACGCGCCAGCGCTGGTACTGAGGTGTCCCCTGTTCAGAGACGGCCTCTCTTCTTCCATCGACCCACCGTGTCCCCTTTAACATAACGTGAGGTTTTTAGTTTCCTGACGTGCGGGTCTCTGCATTCCTCACTGCAGGTGGCTTTTCTCTGGATGTGCGGACCAGGATCTGTCTTGGCGTCTTCTGAAGGATCCATCACCTTGGTAACGACCCCCCAGAGGTTAGATAGCTGGGACTCTGCCGGTCAGGACAGAGGGGTGAAACATCTTCAGGTATCTTCAGCCAGGTCCAGATGCCCCTGGTTTTCACCCGAACCCACCTTGTCCTGGCTCAGCTGGGCTGCGAAGGCCTTCTCCATGTCGGCCTCGAAGGCCAGCAGACACATCTGTAGACAGACAGGTGCGGTGAGTCAGACGAGCGTCGGGCCACGTCGTAGCAGCAGCTTAACGACTTTCCTGTTTGTTCTATTCTTTGATTCGCCGAGCCGAAGGCCCCGATCGCATTCACGCCGTCACACCTGGAAGCCGCCAGCACAACCAAGGAACCAGCTCAGGGCACCTCCGCGCTGCTCGCTTTACTTTCCACACCCAGAGGTTATCCTGCCGCTCTGGGGACCGAACCCGGTCACGAGCTCGCTTCTCTAACCTTTGGGCCAATTAACCAATTAACTTTGTGTCTGGTTCTGCAGGGACAGTTTCAGGCGCCACAGCTGTTGGCAGGTCGCCGGGTCGGCCCCCGGATGTGACGGGTTCTTCTTCTGGGGCCGTGTTACAGAAAGTTCCTGTCTTTGGTATTACAGAAGCAAATCCTAACTAACTTTAGGAATCCTGTCTTCTCTCAGGAAATCCTAAACACTCGATCCAACATCGCTTATCAACTTCTATGTCTGTTACCTAGCAACCGACGCCACTTGTCTCATCTCGCCGAGCTAAGTGTTGTTTAATGAAACAAACGTCTCGACTTCCGGCAGTCGCCTCTCCTCTCATCCTGAGCCGCTGTGTTTTATACCCGCAGCCGCCGCGTTGGTTAGACGGCGCCTGAACGCTCCGTCACGAAGCTCGCGCTAATGACTTCCTGTTATTTCTCTCAACATAAAAGTGCTTGAAGTGTGCCGGTGTACATTTTAGCCTTTGGCGTACCGGCCCCGGTCCTCTCCGGATCAGGCTCTCTGGGCTCCACGTCTCGCTCACGGGTCCCGTTCTCTCCCGCCTGCTGATCTCCGCAGGGAGACCGGGTAACTTTCATGCAGCCTTGTGCGCTAGATGCTCGTCAAAGTGTTTTTCCGTGAACCGACCAATCACAGCCTGGAGTAGGCGGGACATTACAGAAGGCTGAAGTTTAGAAATGTGGTTGAACTGGTTGTTCTTACCGACTAGTTTGTAATTAGCACGAACATATTTGAGCCTCACAATAATTTAAAGCTGCTGTTTAGTCCAACTGGAGTTTTATATTAGGCTGCTAACGGTAAGCTGTGGTAGCTGTACGATGATCTGGACTTAACCACGCTGCTGTAGGCTGACATCAGAAAATGGTTTTATTAGTGAAACAGCTGAATCTCAACTAACAAACTGTCTGTAGGCAGTTTAACCTGTAAATATATTATACTATTCATAAATACACTCATTTATACCTGCAGGTTGGGGATATATTTTGTTTATCAAATGTCAGAAATGACAGATTTCGGTCGTAAAGTAGCTCATCGCCTTTACTGTGCGTTTACAGATCAGCTTACTGAGGCCCGTTCTGAGCCAGGAAACCCTGCCATTATTATTTTTATTGTTCTTATGGACCAGCAGGGTGATCTAAAGTTTGGGGAAACTGTATCAGATCCTGCTCGTCCTGATCGGTTCGTTAAACGGGGAAAGACTGCAGCTCGGGAGGTTTTTATATTTGAAACAGTTTAGTGACCAAATGAGAATTTAAGGTCATTTTTTGATGTGTGTTGAAAGTGAACAACTTTCCATCAATGAACTGAACGGAAAGATCTGGGAGTGCTTCACAGAGCTTTAACTGATGTGAACGGCAAATAAAAGCAGAGAAGTGTTCGATGATCCCAAAAGACGAAACGGACGGAAAGCCGAGCTCGTGGTGAGGAACGCGCCTGAGATGAGCGGCTGTTAAACTGGGCAGAAGAAGCTGCTCTTCTCCTTCTTTCTGCGCTGCTTGCGTGTTTTTCTGCTTTCAGAAAGTATCGAGCGAAGTTCTGGTTTGACTGGAAACGTTTTGGTTCTACTCGCTAGCGGGCGGCGAGGGCCGTCCCTGCTGTGGATATGAGGTCGTCACGGTCTGAACCTCTCTCTTCACTGCGGTCTGATTTTTATGAGGGGAAAAGACATCGTTACTCCCCCCGCTGGATTAAATGAGCGTGCGCACCTTCTCGTGCGCCCTCCTCTGCTCGAGGTCATGGGGGTGGAGCACCTGCAGCCCGCACACCTCACACAGGTCGCCATGGAGATACGTACAGTTGTCTTCATAGAAACAGTGTCCGGCGGCGGCGTAGGGACACAGCTGGGGGAGGTCCTGGTAAGCCCCGCCCACTGGGGGAGGAGCTGCACAGAGCACAGGAAACAGCAGCTGTTATTAAACACCTCGTCACGTTATACTGATTACATCACAGACCACGAGCAGCCAATCAGAAGTCTCCCACCTTCTTCCCGCGCTGAAGCGTCCAAACCCGTCCTGATGGCGTCCACATACGACTGAGGAGCTGCTGCCGCGACCTCTGACCCCACACTGTCTGCTGGACCCCCAAACATGCTGTCTGCACCCAGGACTGAGAGACAGACAGGAGGAGGGACGGGAGGAGAGACAGAGACAGACAGACGGGAGGAGGGACGGGAGGAGAGAGAGAGACAGACAGACGGGAGGAGGGACGGGAGGAGAGACAGAGACAGACAGACGGGAGGAGGGACGGGAGGAGAGACAGAGACAGACAGACGGGAGGAGGGACGGGAGGAGAGAGAGAGACAGACGGGAGGAGGGACGGGAGGATAGAGAGAGACAGACGGGAGGAGGGACGGGAGGAGAGAGAGAGACAGACGGGAGGAGGGACGGGAGGAGAGAGAGAGACAGACGGGAGGAGGGACGGGAGGAGAGAGAGAGACAGACGGGAGGAGGGACGGGAGGCGACAGACAGGAGGAGGGACGGGAGGAGAGACAGAGACAGACGGGAGGAGAGAGAGACAGACGGGAGGAGGGACGGGAGGAGAGAGAGACAGACAGACGGGAGGAGGGACGGGAGGAGAGAGACAGGAGGAGGGACGGGAGGAGAGAGAGAGACAGACGGGAGGAGAGAGAGAGACAGACGGGAGGAGGGACGGGAGGAGAGACGGGAGGAGAGAGAGAGACAGACGGGAGGAGAGAGAGAGACAGACGGGAGGAGAGAGAGAGACAGATTAGACGGTCAGGTTGTTTGTCATGTCTCACTAAAGCAGATCAGGTGACTGATCTGGACCAATCAGGGCAGGATGGTACCAGCAGGATTTTATCAATACTCCTGAAGGAAGTGACGTCGTATCTAAAGGAAGTGACGCCCCCCAGCTTTAAGCTGATGATACACAGAGCAACTTTTAGAGCAATCGTGCAGGGCAACGTTGCCGTCAATGGTAATGAGTAAAGATTACTACCATGACCCCCTCCCTGACCACTCCGCCGCCCGCCCCGCCGCTATCCATTCGTCGGACTTGCCTCCAGCAACATTGCTCCAAAAGTTGCTCCGTGTATCATCAGCTGAAGTGAGAGTCTGAACAGTGAAGCGACCGAAGTCTGTGGGGGGGGGGGGTCCATCCAGGCCCTAAAATGACGTGCAGCACGGCGGCTACCAGAACCACGGCGTTTCTGCCGCCGCTGCACGTCATTAAACTGGTTCTCCTGGACAGTAGCTCTCTTAACCTTAACGGGCTCCACTGCTCGCCATTCTAACCTGCAGCGTGGCCTCGTCCGTGTCTGAGCGTGTTATCACCTCTTTCTCTGAGGACCATGGTCTTCTTAACGCCTCTGACTGAAGCCCCGCCTCCAGCCCCTCCCACACCTGCATGATCCTCTGAAGCTCCTCCTCCTCCTCTGGATGAATATTTGATGTGGTCGTATCTGCACACAGGTCACACAAACACACACACACCTGAATATACACAGGAAATGATGTAACCACTAACAGTGACCTGACAGTACACACGGGACACGATTGGATGTTCTCTGCCAGGTGGGCGTTACCTGCAGCGTTCTCCGTAGGCACACACTCCTCTCAGGTAGAACTTGCAGATGGTGGAGGGTTTGCTGTTGGCCGGGTCATGAGAGAACAGGCAGCGGCTTCCCTCCCTGCACACGCCGTGGAGGAAGTACCTGAAACAACACACCTGTTACAGGTGACATCAGCTGGACCTCGGGTTCCGGCCTCTAACGCAATCGCCTTCTCAGGCCAGTCTTAGAGGTCGCAGTAACGCCTTCTAACCTCAGCCAGTCTTAATTTAATCTCTTTGCCCCACCCACCTTCACCTGTGCTGCAAGCACACCTGCTGGCCCGCCTCTCGCTGTGCGTCAGCTGACTTTCTCCACCAGCAGTAAGTTTTATAAAGTCGCCCAAAACACACAGAACTCGTCTTTGGATCCAGTTTACGTCACAGGTGTGTTCCGTGTCGCTTTACCTGGTGCTTGTAAAATAGCCACCGTGTCTTGTAACAGATAGCATCTCTCCCGACCCACCTGTTGGGTCGCCACATCTACCTGGACGGCCCGTTTCCAACTTCTCCAGGACCATTTTAACCTTCTCAAGGACCATTTCCACCTTCTCAAGGACCATTTCCAACTTCTCCAGGACCATTTTAACCTTCTCAAGGACCATTTTAACCTTCTCAAGGACCATTTCCAACTTCTCAAGGACCATTTTAACCTTCTCAAGGACCATTTCCAACTTCTCAAGGACCATTTTAACCTTCTCCAGGACCATTTTAACCTTCTCCAGGACCATTTTAACCTTCTCCAGGACCATTTTAACCTTCTCAAGGACCATTTCCAACTTCTCAAGGACCATTTTAACCTTCAAGGACCATTTCAACCTTCTCAAGGACCATTTCCAACTTCTCAAGGACCATTTTAACCTTCTCCAGGACCATTTTAACCTTCTCCAGGACCATTTTAACCTTCTCAAGGACCATTTCCAACTTCTCAAGGCCCCTCTGAACCTTTCAGGAGAGAGCAGCGTGTGTTGCAGTGCGCCTCTCTGCCCCCCCCCCCGTTTCTGTCGGTTTGCTCATTTTAACCGTTTACGGTGTCGGTGTTTCTATTATTTTGTCCACCCCCGTTACCTGCTGCTCTGGAGGAGCCCGGATGTGGAGGGAACAGGTGAGTTAGTTTGATCTGACTGAGTTTTAACTTCTAACCGAAGCGGAACACAAGCTAGCAGCTAACAGCTAGCAGCTAACGGCTAAAAACATTAGCACGGGGCTACAGAGGAACCCGAGCGCGAGGCTGGCGGACAGGTAACAGGCTGGCGGACAGGTGGCCGACAGAGCGACACACTCACCTGCAGGTCACCTGTTTGGTGCTCATCTTCCTCACGGAGCTTCAGCTACAACGGCTGCCTCCAAGGTGTCACGTTGGTGTCCCGCTAAAACACCTCCGACTGACCCCCGCAGTCACAGCACGAAGGTTCCTATGTTTATCTGACGGCTAATTTACACAGTGCAAGTACAAGTACACAGTCCTTACTAAGTACATTAAGTACACAGTCTTTCTGTGTTTATTTGATGGGGACAGAATGTGTTAAGACAATATAATAAATATTTATGGTTTCAAAACGCTCTTTGGCAGTGACACATAAACACAAAACAGATAAATGGATAAAACAAAATAGAAGCCAATATAAATACAGTCACAGTATATACAAAGCAAAGTGATAACCTAAAATACTGCAGTAGTGGTAAAATAGCAGCATATGGTATGTGTAATACTGCATTAAGTTTGCAATATGAACATTAGTTTAAATCTACAAGATGTAACATGCCGGAGTTTCTCATCGGTGGTCCCTCGGCAGGAAACGAAGACATTACTAGCGACGATATACAGATACAGATATACACAAGTGGACAGAATACAGATACAGATATACACAAGTGGACAGAATACAGATACAGATATACACAAGTGGACAGAATACAGATACAGATATACACAAGTAGACAGAATACACCGAGCAACATGTCGGGAGCGTCACAATTCTGGTTTGCCTTAAGCTGTTGGGTGAGATGGGTCTTACAGTTTTTCTGAATTGTTTACATACAAATACTTGAGACACAATGAGCACAACATGTAACTCCTGCACCAACCCCCTGAAGCAATTCTGCAGAACTACAAGCACAATTCCTGCTTTACACTCAAATTGCAGTTCTAAAACACACTTTTTTTCAAAACACTACACACAATTCTCTGCATTTGGCACAATTTTCATGAATAAAATCTCTTGTTTTCACAAGGAACACACTGTACGTGCAACTTTGTGTTGTTTGGGAAGTACACTGTGTACACTGTATTTGGGGGGGGGGAAATAAAATATCGTGTATTTGAATGTTTTGAGTATAAAAACATTATTCTCAAATATTTTACAACACACGCATGTACTGTTTGAAGTAACACTGAACAAAAAAAGCCCAGAGTCATTGTGATGCATGGAGAAGTGTTTTACACTGAGAATATCAGTGTTCAGCTGGTTCCTTTTAGATGTCTAATCATTCGATGGTTTGTGTGTCATTTGAAAACAAAAGACCATTTTGAGAAGAAATAACGTTGTTTTGAATGTAAAGTTTTATTTTGCAGGATAATTGAGGGTTTTTGTGTGGAAAATTCTCAGAATATGAGGCATGCTGTCAGAATATGTGTGTAAATAATTGAGATGCAGGGCTCTCCCTTCCTGCAGCAGGCCATCCCAGTGTTCACCTCCCTGCTTTCTCGACAACCAGCGCTAGATGGTGCTGTCGCCATTTTGGACAGAACCCACAGAGACGCAGCCCAAAAAAAAAGTCACTTCAAATGAGAGGAACTCTATGAAACGTTGAAATGCTGTAACAATAAAAACAACTGTGGGATTATGTGCTCTAATTTTGGTTTGCGATTATCAGTTTTTTACAGCTGCTTACACACAAAATCTTTACATGTCACACAGTTTTTGAAACCTCTCACTCAAAGAGCAAAACCTCACCTCAAATCTCTAAAACCATGAGCTATTTCTCAGCCTTGCACTCAGTTTTCAGTCGCATAAAACAATTTTTTCAAAACACTAAACACAATTCTCTAAGACCCAAAAATCTTGGCATGTAGTTACAATTTGAGGAGGTACACATCATGCAACCTCTGCGTAGCCCCCTACCGTACGCCGTAGGTGACAGCGACGCGGACCGTAAGCACTGATTAGTCGGCTGGGTAGCCTTGCAATGCCTCCGAGCCGACAGGAAGTGCCCCGTGCTTTGAAGCTATACACGTAGCTCCTACGCAGGAGTATAAATCTTTAAGCGCAGACAAAACATAGCAAAATGTTTTTTCCAACGGACACGGTGGTTCCCTGAACACCCTGCTGTAGACGCAAGCGCACTGAATTTCCCTGCCTTTTTAACGCCGTTGTGTTTACAAACTTGTCGCAGCTGATTGGGTAACAGCCTGAGACACGACCACCAAACGGGAGAAAACATACCTCGAAGCCCGTTGCAGAACGTTGCAAGGAAACATGTCGTTCAATCAGAAAATGTTGCAAACCGGTGCAGAACGTTTTGAGATAGAACTCCTCACATGTGCAAACAGGGCACAGAGTATAGGGGACAGAGGACAGAGTATAGGGGACAGGGTATAGGGCACAGGGCACATGCAACAGGACACAGGGGTAAGTCTTTACAAAAGTCAGCTAGGAAAATGCACAGTTACCCTTTTCCAGTTGCAATGGCCACAGCTTTAATTATAGTAGCATACAACTAAATCACTTGGATCGAGACAACTCATGTCTTTTTTGACCAATGCAGTTAATCCCTTTGTGGGTCCAGGTTCAAATTATGGTTGCCAATGTAAAGCAACTCAAGTTGGGCTGGACTCTCAATCCAGCTTTTCTCATGGTCAACCTGTGGTTGATCACATGGTCAATAAGTGTGGCTCTGATCAGATCAGTGATGGCTCTCTTTCCTTCTCTTCTTTTCCTTCGTCCTCTTCCAACTCTTCCTCCTTGACCATGTCCTTGTTGTCGTCCCCTGCGTCTCCCTCCTCCTCCCCTTGCTCTCTGTCCATTGTTGGCATCCATTGTTCAAACCAGGTAATTTGACCTTTGACTTATTTATAAGTGGTTAGTGATCGGTTAAGCAGTTAGTGTTTGCACATGTGAGCAGTGGCTGTGTGACCTGGTGAAGAAGTGCAGCATTTTGATTACTTGTGTTTGGAAAAGGAAAACAAGTCACTTCCTGTTAGATTTTTGGGTCTGAGGTAGAGAATTGTTTTTAGTGTTTTGAAAAAAGTGTTTTATGCGAATGAAAACTGAAAGGCTGAGAAAGAGCTTCTGGTTTTGAAGATTTGAGGTGAGGTTTTGCTCTTTGAGTGAGAGGTTTCAAAAATCGTGTGACATGTAAAGATTTTGTGTGTAAGCAGCTGTAAAAAACTGTAAATGAGCGTTACTTGCTGACACACACACACACACACACACACAGGTACAGGTGACAGGTGAGATGGAAAAAGTGTTGACCTACATTCAGTCTGTCTGCTGTAACAATCAGATTACAGGGCCTTTAAAGTTGCATTCAGTCTTTTATTTTGAAGGCAGCTCTGGTTCCTACAGGTCAGCATGTTATTGGTGTGTGTTTCCGTCACCACACACAGAGCTATAATTCTTTTCCAGGTTTTTTCTGTCGCTGTGATACTTTGATCAATAGTTTGGTGCAGTTTTTCTCTCTGAGTGCCAGACTCTGAACAGATCAGACCTGTAAATCGTTAAATCTGCATTCAAAACAACTGATTCTGCTCTCATTTGGTCTGTAAACATCTTTCAGCACAAGATCTCTGATTGAACAACCAGTGCATTTGTTAAGGCCTCTAAACGTTACGTTCAGTGAAGTCAGTGGAACAAAGACTTCCAAGACTCGTTGAAGGTAATCTATTTTCACATCTAACTGTATGTTACCTGTAACAATCAACAAAATAACTTCCATAATATCTATCCCATAATCTTCTTCTCCAGTCATTGATCCAAGAAACAAACTTTTATTTCCACATACAGGTTTGTCTGATCAAAGGTAACTGAGCCTGAGCTGAGTTTATCACCGTGTGAAACCACTTTGATCAGTGTGAGTACAGGTGGACGAGTGACTAACTGTTAACTCTGTTTGTTATTCTGATCTTTGTCTGCATTTACTGATTTCTGCGTCATTTCTTCTGTCAGACTGACGTCAGGTTCAGTGTCAGCGTGACACCGACACTCCGCAGGTCGACGCCGCTCTCCATGACGACGCTGCCAACACAGTCCAAAGGTCACCTGTTCAGACTGAAGCAGGAACAGGTGAGCCGGGTCACATGGCTGTCTGTCTGATAGCAACTGCAACCTGATAGGCTGGAGCCAGGCAGTGATGTCATCTGATAGGCTGTAATCTAGCAAACAGGTGTGACATGGAGAAGGAGAGAAGAAGAAACAGACGACGGATGAGAGAAGGAGAGAAGAAGAAAACAAGTCAGAGAAGAGGAGAAAAGGAGGAACAGGAGGAGTAAGAGGAGGAGGTGCAGATGGATCGCAGTGTGATCCGGCTGAGTCACTGTCAGAAGGAGATCTTCTGCTTCTCGGTGCCAGAGGAGTGTCCGAGCTGTGGGGAGGAGCTGAGGGGGAGCAGACTGCAGGAGGCGCCGGTCAGCCTCCCGTCCCCCCTCACCAACGGACACAAGAGCTCCTGCTGCCTGCTGGTTGCACCTGCACACGACAACCTCAACAGGTAAACACAGTCCAAGCCAGGCTTAGAGACCAATATGACCTGTTGAGACCAGTATAACCAGCTGAGACCTGTATAACCTGTTAGACCAGTATAACCTGTTAGACCAGTATAACCTGTTGAGACCGGTATAACCAGCTGAGACATGTATAACCTGTTAGACCAGTATAACCTGTTAGACCAGTATAACCTGTTGAGACCGGTATAACCAGCTGAGACCTGTATAACCTGTTAGACCAGTATAACCAGCTGAGACCTGTATAACCTGTTAGACCAGTATAACCTGTTGAGACCGGTATAACCAGCTGAGACCTGTATAACCTGTTAGACCAGTATAACCTGTTGAGACCGGTATAACCAGCTGAGACCTGTATAACCTGTTAGACCAGTATAACCAACTGAGACCTGTATAACCTGTTGAGACCAGTATAACCTGTTGAGACCTGTATAACCTGTTAGACCAGTATAACCAGCTGAGACCTGTATAACCTGTTAGACCAGTATAACCTGTTAGACCAGTATAACCTGTTGAGACCGGTATAACCAGCTGAGACCTGTATAACCTGTTGAGACCAGTATAACCTGTTGAGACCGGTATAACCTGTTAGACCAGTATAACCAGCTGAGACCTGTATAACCTGTTGAGACCAGTATAACCTGTTGAGACCGGTATAACCAGCTGAGACCTGTATAACCTGTTAGACCAGTATAACCTGTTGAGACCGGTATAACCAGCTGAGACCTGTATAACCTGTTGAGACCAGTATAACCAGCTGAGACCTGTATAACCTGTTAGACCAGTATAACCTGTTAGACCAGTATAACCAGCTGAGACCTGTATATCCTGTTAGACCAGTATAACATGCTGAGACCAGTATAACATGTGAGACCAGTATAACATGTGAGACCTGTATAACCTGTTGAGACCAGTATAACCAGCTCAGACCTGTATAACCTGTGAGACCAGTATAACATGTGAGACCTGTATAACCTGTTAGACCTGTATAACCTGTTAGACCAGTAAAACATGCTGAGACCAGTATAACATGTGAGACCAGTATAACATGTGAGACCTGTATAGCCTGTTGAGACCAGTATAACCAGCTCAGACCTGTATAACCTGTGAGACCAGTAAAGCATGCTGAGACCAGTAAAACATGCTGAGACCAGTATAACATGCTAAGACCAGTATAACACGTGAGACCAGTATAACATGCTGAGACCAGTATAACACGTGAGACCAGTAAAACATTCTGAGACCAGTATAACACGTGAGACCAGTATAACATGCTGAGACCAGTATAACACGTGAGACCAGTATAACATGCTGAGACCAGTATAACACGTGAGACCAGTATAACATGCTGAGACCAGTATAACATGTGAGACCTGTATAACCTGTTAGACCTGTATAACCTGTGAGACCAGTAAAACATGCTGAGACCAGTATAACATGTGAGACCAGTATAACATGTGAGACCAGTAAAACATGCTGAGACCAGTATAACATGTGAGACCAGTATAACCTGTGAGACCAGTATAACATGCTGAGACCAGTATATCCTGTTAGACCAGTATAACATGTGAGACCAGTATATCCTGTTAGACCTGTATAACCTGTGAGACCAGTAAAACATGCTGAGACCAGTATAACATGTGAGACCAGTATATCCTGTTAGACCTGTATAACCTGTTAGACCTGTATAACCTGTGAGACCAGTAAAACATGCTGAGACCAGTATAACCTGTGAGACCAGTATAACATGCTGAGACCAGTATATCCTGTTAGACCTGTATAACCTGTGAGACCAGTAAAACATGCTGAGACCAGTATAACCTGTGAGACCAGTATAACATGCTGAGACCAGTATAACCTGTGAGACCAGTAAAACATGCTGAGACCAGTATAACCTGTGAGACCAGTATAACATGCTGAGACCAGTATATCCTGTTAGACCTGTATAACCTGTGAGACCAGTAAAACATGCTGAGACCAGTATAACATGTGAGACCAGTATATCCTGTTAGACCTCTATAACCTGTTGAGACCAGTATAACATGTGAGACCAGTATATCCTGTTAGACCTCTATAACCTGTTGAGACCAGTATAACATGTGAGACCAGTATATCCTGTTAGACCTGTATAACATGTGAGACCAGTATATCCTGTTAGACCTGTATAACCTGTTGAGACCAGTAAAACATGCTGAGACCAGTAAAACATGCTGAGACCAGTATAACATGTGAGACCAGTATAACATGTGAGACCAGTATATCCTGTTAGACCTCTATAACCTGTTGAGACCAGTAAAACATGCTGAGACCAGTATAACATGTGAGACCAGTATAACATGTGAGACCAGTATAACATGGGAGACCAGTATATCCTGTTAGACCTCTATAACCTGTTGAGACCAGTAAAACATGCTGAGACCAGTATAACATGTGAGACCAGTATAACATGGGAGACCAGTATATCCTGTTAGACCTCTATAACCTGTTGAGACCAGTATAACATGTGAGACCAGTATATCCTGTTAGACCTGTATAACCTGTTGAGACCAGTAAAACATGCTGAAACCAGTAAAACATACTGAGACCAGTATAACATGTGAGACCAGTATATCCTGTTAGACCTCTATAACCTGTTGAGACCAGTAAAACATGCTGAGACCAGTAAAACATGCTGAGACCAGTATAACATGTGAGACCAGTATATCCTGTTAGACCTCTATAACCTGTTGAGACCAGTAAAACATGCTGAGACCAGTAAAACATGCTGAGACCAGTAAAACATGCTGAGACCAGTATAACATGTGAGACCAGTATAACATGGGAGACCAGTATATCCTGTTAGACCTGTATAACCTGTGAGACCAGTAAAACATGCTGAAACCAGTATAACCAGCGTGAATCCTGTTTACTCCACAGAGAGTTTGATGGGACGTCAGATCTGCACACCGGCATCTCCAACACTACAGGTGGGACTCAGGGGTCAGAGGGCTGTCCAGTTCCAGTGTCCCCTCCCAGCTGCTGACAGACTCTGGGGACTCGGTTCACTTCCTAAAAAATCTGAAATGTGCTTCAATATCCTTTAATTTGTGTGTGTAAGAGACCCAGGTTCGAATCCCACACGTCCACCAATGTGTCCCTGAGCAAGACACTTAACCCCAGGCATGATGCGACCTCTGACATATAAAACAACTGTAAGTCGCTTTGGATAAAAGAGTGTTTTATCATTTGCAAAACACCAGCAGACTTCCTGCTGTACTCTCAGACTGCAGGTTAAAGCGCCACAGTTCTCTACACACAGATGTAAAGATAAAGTTTACGTAAATATTCTGCTTAGATTTTCAGCACAGTATCTCAGTCTGGTCAGAAATGCAGGACATTTGCCGTCATTCTGCTTTTAACAGTTTTGACATTTGAAACATGTGCTGCAGTGTTCTGCAGGTGGTGCAGGACGCTTTTATCCAAAGTGACTTACAGTTGTCATATATGTCAGAGGTCACGCAACTCAGGAGCTGCTAGGGGTTAAGAGTCCTGAACACAGGTGGACGTGTCAGTGGGATTGAACCCAGAACTCCCACATCAAAGGCATGTGTCTTATCCACTTCTCCCCCAGCTACATCCTGTAAACACAGTAAAAGGGATGACTGATGAAGTTCAGTTTTATTTATATAGCGCCGAATCACAACAACAGTTATCTCACAGCGCCTCATAAAGAGCAGGTCTAGACCGAACTCTGTGATGTTATTTACAGAAGCCCAACAGTTCCCACCAAGAGCAAGCACTAGGAGACAGAGGCAAGGAAAAACTTCCTTTAAGAGGCAGAAACCTCGAGCAGAACCATGACTCAGGGTGGGCGGCAGAGAGAGAGAGGGAGAGAGAGGGAGAGAGAGAGAGAGGAGAGAGAGAGGGGGGGGGGGAGGCAGCCTACACAATATCCACACAGAGGTACAGACAGTAAAGGTGATGTTGCTATAGACTAAATGAAAAATGGTACAGATATTTATAATAGTGTTAATGATAACAATCGTAATGTTAATGATTATAATAACAATAATAACAACAGGACTAGTAACAATAGTTGTTGCAGCAGAGGGTGTCGAGCAGGAACACGGGGGCAGCAGGTGACCCGCAACCACAGATCCAGACTCCACAGCTCCAGAGCCAGAAACACCTGCAGGAAGTGACAGGAGGAGAGAGGAGAGGGACGAGAAAGCACAAGACTACCAGAAAGGGGAGAAGTTGTGTTAGTAACATGCAATAATGGGATGAGGTTGCATACAGAGGGAGAGAAAGTAGAGGAGAGAGGAGCTCAGTGCATCATGGGAAATCCCCCGGCAGTCTAGGCCTATAGCAGCATAACTAAGGGATGGTTCAGGACTCACCTGAGCCAGCCCTAACTATAAGCTTTATCAAAGAGGAAAGTCTTAAGCCTACTCTTAAATGTGGAGATGGTGTCTGCCTCCTGAACCCAAACTGGAACCTGGTTCCACAGGAGAGGAGCTTGATAGCTGAACGCTCTGGCTCCTAGTCTACTTTTGGAGACTCTAGGAAAGCAGGGACCTCTGCAGGGACTCACTTCCCTGCAGAGGTCCAGTGGACACAGCACCTACAGAGAGGTGCATGCTGGTCCGAGCTAAACTCCATAAACTCTCTACACACTAACTAAAGCTACAGGCTAACTACAGCTATGCGCTACCTACAGCTACACGCTACCTACAGGTATGCGTTAACTAAAGCTATGCACTAACTACAGCTACACACTAAAAAAGCTACATGCTAACTACGGCTACATGCTAACTAAAGCTACATGCTAACTACAGCTACAGGCTAACTAAAACTACACAGTAACTAAAACTACACAGTAACTAAAGCTACATGCTAACTACAGCTACAGGATAACTAAAGCTACAAGGTAACTAAAGCTACGCAATAAAGAAGCTACACACTAACTACAGCTATGTGCTAACTACAGCTACACGCTACCTACAGCTATGCGTTAACTAAAGCTTTGCACTAACTACAGCTACACACTAAAAAAGCTACATGCTACCTGTCTGTGTGTATGTGTGTAGGAGTTGTGTATAACTACACTTCTGGTGGAGTTCGTAGAGATCTGATTGGTTGGGAGAGCTGCGTCAGTGTTCCTCTGGTCCGACCCGACATGTTCCACCTGCTGGCTCAGTGGGACAAGTACCTGGACCGCTTCTCTGAGGGACCCATGTGGGACCCCGCCTGGCACAGGTACACCTCACACCTGTTCTGTTGAAACAAGAAGATGTCCAGTCTGAAACTCAGCAGCTTCCACCTGTCTCTCTCCTGTCCAGTTGTCTCTCTCCTATCCACCTGTCTGTCTCTCCTGACCACCTGTCTGTCTCTCCCCTGTCCACTTGTCTCACTTTCCTGTCCACCTGTCTCACTTTCCTGTCCACCTCTCTCTCCCCTGTCCACCTGTCTGTCTCTCTCCTGTCCACCTATCTCTCTCCTCTGTCCACCTGTCTGTCTCTCTCTCCCTGTCCACCTGTCTCTCTCTCCTGTCCACCTGTCTGTCTCTCTCCTGTCCACCTATCTCTCTCCTCTGTCCACTTGTCTGTCTCTCCCCTGTCCACCTGTCTGTCTCTCTCTCCCTGTCCACCTGTCTCTCTCTCCTGTCCACCTATCTGTCTCTCTCCTGTCCACCTATCTCTCTCCTCTGTCCACCTGTCTGTCGTCTGTCTCTCTCCTGACCGTCTGTCTGTCTCTCCCCTGTCCACCTGTCTGTCTCTCTCCTGTCCACCTATCTGTCTCTCTCCTGTCCACCTGTCTGTCTCTCTCCTCTGTCCACCTATCTGTCTCTCCCCTGTCCACCTATCTCCCTCCCCTGTCCACCTGTCTGTCTCTCCTCTGTCCACTTGTCTGTCTCTCTCCTCTGTCTACCTGTCTGTCTCTCTCCTGACCCTCTGTCTGTCTCTCCCCTGTCCACCTGTCTGTCTCTCTCCTGTCCACCTATCTGTCTCTCTCCTGTCCACCTATCTCTCTCCTCTGTCCACCTGTCTGTCTCTCCCCTGTCCACCTGTCTGTCTCTCTCTCCCTGTCCACCTGTCTCTCTCTCCTGTCCACCTGTCTGTCTCTCTCCTGTCCACCTATCTCTCTCCTCTGTCCACCTGTCTTTCTCTCCACTGTCCACCTGTCTCACTTTCCTGTCCACCTTTCTGTCTCTCTCCTGTCCACCTGTCTGTCTCTCCCCTGTCCATCTGTCTGTCTCTCCCCTGTCCATCTGTCTGTCTCATCTAACCACCTGTCTATATCTCCCCTGTCCATCTGTCTGTCTCTCTCCTCTGTCCACCTGTCTGTCTCTCCTGACCACCTGTCTGTCTCTCCCCTGTCCACCTGTCTGTCTCATCTGACCACCTGTCTCTCCCCTGTCCATCTGTCTGTCTCTATCCTCTGTCCACCTGTCTGTCTCTCCCGCCCACCTGTCTGTCTCTCAGGTTCCATGAGGAGGACCATAACTGCTTCAGTTTCTGTCTTCAGTTCATTAACGGCGTCCTGGCGGCAGAGGGGCGGAGCTCTCTGAGCAGAGAGACCTTCACGCACAGCTTCATCCTGCCGAGGATGAGGAGGGTCTCCAAATACACCACGCTGTACCAGCACATCCAGAGACACCAGTACTACCTGGTGGACAGACAGGAGGACAGACAGGAAACACCTGATAAACCAGACCTATTTTGTGCCAGTTCTGTTTCATAAAGGGCTCGAAAGGAGTCTCATTGACAAGGAACCTGATCCTCCAGACTTCAGTTTGTCTCCATGGTACCAGATCTGCTCCCACAGCCAGAACATTATGACCACCTGCCTGATACCGTGTAGGTCCCCCTTTAGCCGCCAAAACCTCCCTGACCCATCGAGACCTGGACTCCACTAGATCTCTGAAGGAGGGCTGTGGTATCTGGCACTAAGATGTTGGCAGCAGATCCTTTAAGTCCTGTAAGCTGTGCGGTGGAGCCTCCATGGTCCGGACTCAGTGGTCCAGCACATCCCACAGATGCTGGACTGGACTCGAGGTCTAGAATCTGGAGGCCAAGTCAGCACCTTGAACTCGTGGTTGTCCTGGACAAGAAGACCATGAAGAGTCCGCTGCCATCAGCGAACACCGTGACCTGATCCATCAGACCAGACCACCTTCTTCCACTGATCCTCGGTCCAGTTCTGATTCTCATCTGCCCGCTGTGGGAGCTTTCAGCAGTGGACAGGGACCAGCACGGGCCCCCTGACTGGCCCCATGCACAACAAACTGTGATGCTCTGTGTGTTGTGAGGCCTTTCTATCAGGGGTCTTCACCTGTCAGAGGGCAGAACGTTACAGGCAGCTTCACCTGCTGACCCCCGTCAGGTCGTAGATTAGGAACTTTAAGTCTCTTCTGCCACTTCCTGCCTCCGTCGCGCTGACTCACCTGTGTGAGCACTTCCAGGTGTATCTGAGCCGAGACACAGGCGGTGTGTGTTTCATGTGTGGAGTCTCAATAAAGCTCATCTGATCTTTTGTGTTTCATCTTTAACTAAATCCTGCAGACTTCTGGTCATCAGGCAGGACCGACGCTCTGGGGGGCGCCACGCCCCAGCGTACTCAGCTCCTTTACTCTGTTACCAGTAAAAGTACTGCATTGAAAATGTTTCTAAAGTAAAAGTATGGAAGTAAAATCAGGTAAATGTACTTTAAAAATATCAGCTTTTGTTTATATTTATTTTAAGACGTGCATATTTTTGGTTATAGTTCTGATTCTCTGATCTTGATTGGCAGCTCACACCGTTTAATTAACAAAGCGAAGGAGGACAGGAGCCGGAGAAAAAACACATTTTACCACCTCGGCTCATCGGATTTCATTTAAGAATCCATCAGTATTGTTTATTTATTCACACACATGTTCTTCAGCCTACAGCGTGTTGTAGCATCACAGATAATATTTTACTTCTAGGATTTTTCAGTTTAATTATTATTTTCAGACAGTGAATGCAGAACACTGGATCGACAACAAAGGTTTGTTAAACCGACTAACTCTGGAAACAGAGCAGCTGCTACGTGCTGAAGGAAACATGTCCTGAGTTATTATTATTCCTCATGCATTCATGTAAAGCTCATTTTTGAAGTTACACAGAGCCCAAAGCACCTTCACAACACTTTGTCTAACCAACAGTCCAAAACTCGATTTTAAATAATTCAAAGGAAAAGCAGCAAATCTTCACGTTTGTGAACCGTGAAATGTTTTAACATGAAAATGTCTCAAACAATTTCATTCAGTTTATTTTGTGAAGTAAAAAGTACAATATCTCACTCTGAGGTGGAGCAGAAAGAGAAAATACTCAAGTAAAGCGGGACGCTACACACACACTCAGGCTTTAATCACCGACTAACGTCTGTCTGTCTAACGTCTTTTGCGTTTTAAATAAAATGTCTCACAAACAAATTAAATATTGGTTATGTACGTTTCTTCTGCACTTTTAACTTTAACTCTGAACATCAGGAGGAACTGAGAGAGGAGGCTGACGGTTCCTGCCGGACGCAGATTCGGTGGCACCGCAGCGTCCGACAGCAAAACACAACCGACCACAGAGTTTGTGAATGAGCAACGAGACTCCTGTTAACGTGCTAACGTGCTAACAAGCTAACAGAGCCATTAGAAAAGAAGCCAGTGAGCTAGCATGCTAACAGTTAGCAGCGCCTCTCTTTAGCTTCCAGCAGCAGGAACATCAACACAGTCCGGATCCACCAGAGGACAAAAACATCTCCGACCCGGTCTGAGCGGGTCCCGGCAGCATGCAGGCGGAATTTCGGGCTCCCCAGAGACGCACCCGGGTTCGGGAGGAGTACGAGGCTCCGCTGCCGGTGAGCCGCAGCCCGGAGGAGAGGAGCGACTTCAGGGCGGAGCTCATCAACCAACACGTACTGGTCTGTCATCCAGACCACATTCAGAAGATCCACAACCAGGTTAGTTAGTCCACATCGCGTGAACCCAGGTCTGAGTTAGTCCATAACCCCTAAAACCAAGTCTGAGTTAGTCCACATCACGTGAACCCAGGTCTGAGTTAGTCCACATCATTTAAAACCAGGTCTGAGTTAGTCCACATCACGTGAACCCAGGTCTGAGTTAGTCCACATCACTTTAAACCAAGTCTGAGTTAGTCCACATCACGTGAACCCAGGTCTGAGTTAGTCCACATCATTTAAAACCAGGTCTGAGTTAGTCCACATCACGTGAACCCAGGTCTGAGTTAGTCCACATCATTTAAAACCAGGTCTGAGTTAGTCCACATCACGTGAACCCAGGTCTGGGTTAGTCCACATCGCGTGAAACCAGGTCTGGGTTAGTCCACATCGCGTGAACCCAGGTCTGAGTTAGTCCACATCATTTAAAACCAGGTCTGAGTTAGTCCACATCGCGTGAACCCAGGTCTGAGTTAGTCCACATCATTTAAAACCAGGTCTGAGTTAGTCCACATCACGTGAACCCAGGTCTGAGTTAGTCCACATCGCGTGAAACCAGGTCTGGGTTAGTCCACATCTCTTAAAACCAGGTCTGAGTTAGTCCACATCACCTAAAACCAGGTCTGAGTTAGTCCACATCACTTTAAACCAAGTCTGAGTTAGTCCACTTCACGTGAACCCAGGTCTGAGTTGGTCCACATCATTTAAAACCAGGTCTGAGTTAGTCCACATCGCGTGAACCCAGGTCCGAGTCAGTCCACATCGCGTGAAACCAGGTCTGAGTTAGTCCACAACACCTAAAACCAGGTCTGAGTTAGTCCACATCACTTTAAACCAAGTCTGAGTTAGTCCACATCACTTTAAACCAAGTCTGAGTTAGTCCACTTCACGTGAACCCAGGTCTGAGTTAGTCCATAACCCCTAAAACCAAGTCTGAGTTAGTCCACATCACGTGAACCCAGGTCTGAGTTAGTCCACATCACGTGAACCCAGGTCTGAGTTAGTCCACATCACCTAAAACCAGGTCTGAGTTAGTCCACATCCCCTAAAACCAGGTCTGAGTTAGTCCACATCCCCTAAAACCAGGTCTTAGTTAGTTCACATCACTTAAAACCAATTCTGAGTTAGTCCACATCACCTAAAACCAGGTCTTAGTTAGTCCACATCACTTAAAACCAATTCTGAGTTAGTCCACATCACTTAAAACCATGTCTGAGTTAGTCCACATCATTTAAAACCAGGTCTGAGTTAGTCCACATCACTTAAAACCAAGTCTAAGTTAGTCCACATCACCTAAAACCAGGTCTGAGTTAGCCCACATCCCGTAAAACAAAGTCTGAGCTAGTCCACATCACTTAAAATCAGGATTTGTCTTGTTACAGGGTTACTTTGGTAAAGGCGTCCTGTCCAGAGCCAGACCAGATTACAGCATCTCTGACCAATGGGAGGGTGAGTTTACACCCACACTGTGACATCATCAGTCTGGTCCAATCCGTGCTGTTCACTGCAGTCAGCTGGTTTCTGTTTCTGTTACAGAACACGAAGGTGTGTTGCTACCTGTCGTCTCACAGTCCAGGTCGGTGACATCACATCATGTCTGTTCACACAATGACATCACACATATATGATGACACAGCACCATGCTGCTCAGGCTGGTAGCCGTTAGCCGTTAGCTGGTAGCCAGTGTGTTGGATGCCCTGAGTTTAGTGCTGAGCTCAGGTTCGGTTCTGTCAGACGGAGCCGAGAGCTGAAGATTTAGAACATCTTCAGTGATGACGTCAGCGCTCTGTGGGAGCCAATGACCTCCTCTGATCACATCTCTCCCCCACCCCAGGTATGATGAGCTCCTCAGGTGGGCGGGGTCAATGCTCTCTGCTCAGGGATTGGATGACGAGGCCGTTAATCAAACCCTGCTCAGACTGTCTCAGCCAGTAGAGATGGAGGATGTCCGGAGGGAAGGGGGAGGAGGGGAGAACGGAAAGAAGGGGGAGGGGCCAGGACCAGAGGGCGGAGTCTGCCCCCCCTCACAGGTGAACAGGAGCTGCAGGTAGAGTGGTCTTCCTCACTGACACCAGACTCCAGCGTAGAAACTAGATCCTGTTCAGGTGACTTCCTGTCTATAAACTGTGATCTTTATTTCAACAGGCTGGGCCCAGAAGACCTGAACCCTGACCACGACCCTGATCTCAGCTCAGACCAGGACTCTGACTCCAACCCTGACCAGGACTCTGACCCCAGCTCTGACCCCGACTGTGACCCCAGCTCTGATTCTGAACCAGGTCCTTTGGTTCCAGGTCCTGGTTTTGTCCTGGTGGTCCCTGACAGTGAGGTGAGTCATCAAGCCTGTTTATTGTGAACTGGTCTTAACCAGGTGAGTCCACGTCCGGTTATAGAATGATGCCATGTGTGTCTGCAGGTGTGTGTGCGGGTCAGGGAGGTCCGGCGGTCTCCGGTCTCTGTCCTAGAGTACCTGCAGCTCAGTCTGGAGGAGGTAACACGAACCATCACACACTTCATGTTCACCATGTATTAACAGCTATAAACACTACATTACCCATGAGCCCCGGCTGCTGTCTTCAGAAAGTGAAGTGATGTAAGCAGCTGAATGTTGGTGTAGTTTCTGCAGAGAGCTGAAGGATCATTCTGTAAACTTCATCTCTCACCTGTCCATCACCTGTCTCTCACCTGTCCATCACCTGTCCCTCACTGTCTATCACCTGTGTCCCACCTGTCCATCACCTGTGTCTCGATCATTCTGTAAACTTCATCCATCACCTGTGTCCCACCTGTCCATCACCTGTGTCTCGATCATTCTGTAAACTTCATCCATCACCTGTGTCCCACCTGTCCATCACCTGTGTCTCGATCATTCTGTAAACTTCATCCATCACCTGTGTCCCACCTGTCTATCACCTGTGTCTCACCTGTCCATCACCTGTCCCACCTGTCCTGGCCCTTCATCAGTTGTCTGTCTATACTTGCAGGCCTTCTTCCTGGTCTACAGTCTGGGCTGCCTGTCTGTCTACCTGCACCAGGTAACTGTCTGTCTGTTGTGTTCAGCAGGTAGTGAGTAAACACGTCTTGTAAATCTCTCAGGTGTTTTATGTTTTGAAAAGTTCAGTTTGAAGATCCTAAAACGCCCCATCACATTCAATGATGACCTCATCCATGTCTTCTCCTGTGATTGGTCAGGAGCCGCTGTCAATCATCCAGCTGTGGAGGAAGTTCCGGTCCATGCGGCCAGACTTCGTCAGCTCGTTCGCAGCCTATCAGCACTGTCGAAGCAGGGGGTGGGTCCCTAAAGGAGGGGGCGGGGCAAAGTATGGCGTCGACTTCAGTAAGACACACACACTCATACAGACACACGCGCACACAGGTGTGTTCCACTTCAGGCTCCGCCTCCAGGGGGCGTGGCCTGCAAAGGTGTACCAATCAAAGAATGATGGTGTGTTCAGGTGCTCTTCTGCTTCCCTGGAAAGAAAAGGTCCCATGATCCTCCAGTGTCTGTGGTGACGTTTGACATGTGACAACACATGACTGGCGGCTGTTAGGTCATCCGAACACAGAAGGCGGAGCCTGAAGTGAGACCAACATTCAGTCAGTTTGGTGTTTTAACAGATTCACTTCTCTGTGTTTTCAGTGCTGTACAGGAAGGGCCCACCTTTCTACCACGCCAGGTAACACACACACAGAACTGGTCCGTATTTTCAGGAAGACGTTCTTCACCTGATGTTTGTCCCTCTCCTCTTCCCGTAGTTATTCTGTGGTGATTGAGCGTGTTGATGAAGTGTTCAGGGGCTCGCCGTTGCGTCCGTTTTCGTGGCGTTCTCTTGCGGCGCTCAGCAGGATCACCTCCAACGTGTCGAAGGTAAGGAGGCGCCAGACGCCGTCAGGTCGCAGCTGATCTGCAGGTTGTTTCACCGTGTTTGTTTTCCAGGAGCTGATGCTGTGTTACATCATCTATCCAGCCGACCTATCAGACGCAGAGCTGGACTCACCTGTCTGTCTGAGCAGACTGAAGGTTCAGGTAACGCAGCCGACTGAGGCAGAAATGTTTCTGTACTGATTCACCTGCTGATCGACTGACAATAAAACATCAGAAACAGGAAGTGACAGAACGCCCAATGGCTGAAATGATGAGCTGATGATCAGAACAGTTTGATTGGTTAGTCAGTTCTGATCAGTTCATCGTTATTGATCAGTTGAATCTGCTGGGAACATTCCTTCTGTCTGAAACATATCGTGTTAATAAAGTTTGACCAAACAAACGAGCGAAGCTGTTTCTCTCAACAGGAAGTGATCGTCAGCAGGTGGGTTTCCTCCAGAGAACGAGCCGAGCAGGACGACATCTGATTGGCCGATGGCACACCTCAGCGACTGATGACATCAGCCAAAACACTTCCCACTCGAGACTCAGAAACCAGGAAACATGACAAGTGTGTTTGAACGCAGCAGATTTCGCACCAGCAGCTTCAGTTCCTGCACTTCAGCAGCATCGGTCGCCTCCCTGATACTCGTCAGCTGGTCAGGATGTTAGAGCCGTTTGTTTCTAATGTTTGAAACGTGACGGCGTTCCAGAGTCAAACTGCAGACGCAACGCGTTCACCTGTCTTCATACGTTCACCGAGGCTCATCAGCTAGCTGGTTAGTTAGTGATAACAGAAACAACATCTTGATCTTGATCTTTAAAGAGCGCGTGTCGTTTCATAGTTTACAGATAAACTGGTTCAGTCTGAGTCTGTTTACATGTTTACAGTCGGTCCGTTAAAGCAGCTGCATCAGCTGTTAGCATGGATGTACATGCGCCTGGAGAATGACCTCTAGGAAAGAGTGAACCCTGAGGCAGCGCTCGCTGGATTTAGAAAGGCAGTACAGATCAGGGGTCTCAGCATGTGTAAAAATAAAATATTTTGCTTATATGATCAGATTATTGATTCCAAATAAAGTTATTTTGTTCTCCGTCTGAAGGCCAAAATTTTTTACCTGTTAAAATCTGAATATTTTGGTTGTAAAAGATCCCGAGATGTGACGGGAGAAGAAGAGATGTTCAAGTCTAGAATAACTATTTGAATTAAGAAAACTTTATTGATCCTCTGCATCAAACATCATACAGACACGTTACATTCAGCATTCTCTGATGTAAACGAAGGAAAAACATGAAGGTTCTCAGGAGGTTCTGCAGCGTCTCTCTCTGGTGTCTGGACTTCTTCTGGAAGAGGACGGATCAAGAAGCAGGTCTGGGTCCAACCTGACCGAGCAGAACTGCAGTAGCTGACTTCCTGTAGTTTTAAACCGCTGCGATCCAGACGCGTCTCTGCAGATGGTTACAGGACAGAGCAGCAAGAAGGGTCTGGATCAGAACACCACGAGTCTGCAGAACCTCTCCGGGGCTGCACGTGTCTGGGACGAACACCTTCCCTCCAGAAACTAAATGTCCAACAGAGAGATCGATAAAGTTTTCTTATTTTTCTGATGTATATTATATATATTCCGTATGTTAGTTATATTTGTAAAACACTGAACAGCAGTTCTTGTATGTAAAGTGTGTATTTGCATTCTTATCAACAGTATCACTACTGTGTTATGATCTCGCGGCAGTTCGCTCTCGCGATAACAGCCGGGCTCCCTGTATGCCTGCGCCATTCAGATCATGGAGTCTCGTCGGGAGGGCAGCGGCTGAAGAACCTGACCGGGACCCGGACCGAGCGACCGTCTGCGGGCTGTTACCCTCCGCTGTGTGTCCAGGTAAAGCCCGCGTGAGCCGGGGTCCAGCCGGCAGGTACCGGGGAGACCCCGCGGGGCTCCGGCAGGCTAACAGTTAGCAGCTAGCTGTTAGCTGGTCTCAGGTGTAGCTCACCTGAAGTCGGACAGGCTGAGGTCACAGCAGCGGGCTGACGGGACTCCGGGTACACCGGACTCACGGTACCGGCGGCTGCTAGCTAACAGCTAATGTAACCTCCGAGCTGTGACCTGGTTCTCTGAGAAGCTGCGGAGCTCCTGTTCCTCTGAGCTCTGCGCTCACTTCCGGCTCTGTGTTTACTTCCGGTTGTGTGTTTTCTGTGTTTATTCTGTGAAAACAACAATAGTGATCAGATGTTTGTGAGTGAAGTCCTGAGGGCTGTTTCACAAAACCACGATAGCGGGTTAAGCCGGGATTTTCCAGATATCCTGAACTAACGAGCCTGACTCGGCTTCACGACAGCAGTAGCACGTTCGTTACCATGGCGATTTATTCTGTGCAGCTAGCCTGCTTCAGACCGGGATACCACACCCGGGCTAATACCACCCGGGCTAATACCACCTGGCTAATACCACCCGGGCTAATAATACCCGGGCTAACACCACCCGGGCTAACACCACCCGGGCTAATAATACCCGGGCTAATAATACCCGGGCTAACACCACCCGGGCTAATAATACCCGGGCTAACACCACCCGGGCTAACACCACCCGGGCTAATAATACCCGGGCTAACACCACCCGGGCTAACACCACCCGGGCTAACCCACTAGTTATGCAGAGCGACTCGATAGACTGGATTTGCGCTACGGCAGCATGTTTCGAGAAGGCAGCACAGATCGTCAGAACACCGGCTGTGTTCAGCGGTCAGGCCGATCAGAACCTCAGCCAGCCACATTTTGGCCACATGGGAGCGCAAAGTTTGTGGTTCTTAGGTTTCGTAGCTGGAGAAGAAGACTTTACACACAGGGAGCAACAGCGAGGAGGTTTTCGTGGAATAAAATGACATGTAATAAATAAATAAAATAAGCAGTAAAAACAGTGGAAAACAGACTGAATGAAAATATCACCGCTAACTGAAACTGTCATAATTATAACGTTGTGTCTTAAATTGTGCCTTTAAAGTGAGCAGTGGACGGTAACAGTCACTCAAGAAATATATTTAACACACACACATGCATGTATATATTCCTCATTAGGTTTCATAGTTGTATAATACTCCCAAATTATAGTCCCACTTCGCTGGACCAGTAAGCACTATATTGTGCACTGTTTACTCATCTGCTGCCAGCTTGGGAGAGAAAACAGTCATTACTACATTGTTTTACAGTCATGCTTGCAGTGTGCATTGCAATGATCACTTCTGCCAGTTTGTAGAACAGGTAGCACAGCAGGAAGTGTTCACCTGTGGTTTTACTTACTACACTGGCAGACTGCAGGACTGCAGCCTCAGGGTCCACTTACAAATATCATACAGGATTTTCTATGAGCACTGACTTCATATCCATATTCACTAAGTACACTATTTTCACACAAAATTGACAGACCTCCAGCCTCTCTGCCTAGACCTACTCTATTTATATTGAGAGAGAGAGAGAGAGAGAGAGAGAGAGAGAGAGAGAGAGAGAGAGAGAGAGAGAGAGAGATATTCATATTCATACATACTTTTTGAAAGTATTTGTTAAAACTGTTGTTTGCAATGAAAAATGTTAAATAACTGAAAATGCTTTAAGAAAGGTTTATTTGCACAATAAGAAAACATGCAATGTAATACAAACATAGAGGAAACAAATGTGCCACCTGCCAGCTGGATTTTGTGTTTCCCCAATAAATAGTATTGTTAATACATTTGCTGAGTGACATATTAACGTCCACTGCTCCCTTTCAAGGTCTGACATAAGGTTACCATTCAGGTAACATTATAATTCTGACAGTTTCAGTCAGGAGCCGTGATATTTTTAGCTACTTACTCATTCAGTCGGCCCTCTGTTGTCTGCCACGTTCTGTCTCCCTGTTTTAATACTGCAGCCGTGTTTCTTCTCCTTTTCTATGATATAATGTGCACTTTTTCATGGTGAACCTTTTTATTCACCGTTACTCACTGCGTGTAAAGCGGGCGGCACACGTCTTTCAGCATCAATGAATCTGTGATCGACCGTGTGGGCTCTTGAAGAAAGCCGCTGACGCCCATTTATCTGAATTACTTCCACCTGGCTGGACAGAGTCCTGAGCTGGTTTGGCCTTCGTGAAACGGATAAAGCCAGGATGCGCTGATCACACCAGGTCAAGCTTCGCTTTATCTCTTATCCTGGATTTCTAAATTCTGCTTTTGTGTATCTATAGAAATAATTGTATTTTGAACATGTGATGCTGCTATAATTTGTAACTCGGCTCACAGGTGATCCTGATCCTTACTGAGACACACCTGTCTGAAAGATCCCGACAGGTGTTCAGGTTGATGGTTTCACTGTGTGTACAGAGCAGCAGCAGCAGGATGGCAGATGACCTGGACATCGAGGCGATGCTGGAGGCTCCGTACAGGAAGGTGAGAGTCCTCTGTCCTCTGTGTTGCAGCCTCTCAGCCGGACTCTACTGCTCCTCACAGATCCTGGTTCTGAATCAGACCCGCGTTAATGTAAAACCAGGACACCCGTAGACCATCTCAGGCCGCGCTGCGGACCGCAGGGTCTCTCTGTCTCACATTTAAGGCTTGACTGTTGTGCTTCCAGGATAACACAAGATTCACAAGCTCAGGTAGGTTTAGGTAAACTCAGGTAGCTTTAGGTAAACTCAGGTAGGTTTAGGTAAACTCAGGTAGGTTTAGGTAAACTCAGGTAGCTTTAGGTAAACTCAGGTAGGTTTAAGGAGGCTCAGGTAGGCTCAGGTAGGTTTAGGTAAACTCAGGTAGGTTTAAGGAGGCTCAGGTAGGCTCAGGTAGGTTTAGGTAAACTCAGGTAGCTTTAGGTAAACTCAGGTAGGTTTAAGGAGGCTCAGGTAGGTTTAGGTAAACTCAGGTAGCTTTAGGTAAACTCAGGTAGGTTTAAGGAGGCTCAGGTAGGCTCAGGTAGGTTTAGGTAAACTCAGGTAGGTTTAGGTAAACTCAGGTAGCTTTAGGTAAACTCAGGTAGCTTTAGGTAAACTCAGGTAGGCTCAGGTAGGTTTAGGTAAACTCAGGTAGGTTTAGGTAAACTCAGGTAGGCTCAGGTAGCTTTAGGTAAACTCAGGTAGGCTCAGGTAGGTTTAGGTAAACTCAGGTAGCTTTAGGTAAACTCAGGTAGGCTCAGGTAGCTTTAGGTAAACTCGGGTAAGGTGAAGTCTCGGCCGTCTAACAGAAAGACCGTCCCAAAGTTCTTATTTGTGCTCTGAAGAGCTGTAAGCGAGGAATCACGAGTGCATCCTTCGCGGAAGTCTCTTGCTGGCCGACACGTGAAGATCAGTAAAGACGTTAACGTCAGATCCAGGTCAGAGCAGGAAGTGACCCGGTCCAATAAGAACCAAACGCTTCGAGATCCGTTTTGCTCCGTTGTGGATTGTGAGGAATCTCAGCTAGGGGGCGCTTTATGACCTCGCTCATTCACTTCCACTCAAAACAGCCACGGCTGGGAGTTGGACTTCCTGTCACCTCCTCGTTCAGACAGGAAGTAACGGAAAGAGTAAATCCTGTGGTCCTGCGCTCTGATTGGCTCCTGCGTGGTCACGCCTTGGTGCCTCCTGGGCCGGTGCTGCGTTCAGGTACTCGTGTTTGTGTCCTGAGAGAAGGAGAAGCCTCTGAGCAGTAGAGTCGGGCTGATGACGATGGTGATGATGATGATGATGATGGCGTCCTTCACACGTAATAAATGCCCGTCTATCTCTCTTTGTAGACTTGCCTAACGATTTCTCACCTCTGCTCCCCTGAATGCCAGTGTGATCTGTCACAAACATGAAGGTAGTAAAAAGCCCCCATCATGCATTGCTGTACTGTGGTCCCCATGGTAACTGTTGTTGGCCGCCTAATGAGGAACAGCTGAGGATTCTGGGGGATGAAGTGTTAGAGAGAGTCAGACAGGAGAGAGTGGAGCGGCTTAGTAATAACTCCAGGAGGATCATGGGAAGGCAACATCACACTGCATGGCTTCTAGTGTCATAGTTAGCTGTTAGCTTAGCATCAGCACTATTCTGCATCCCAACTCTGAGCTGGGAGCGAGGGTCGGGCTTCACAGAGACCTGGTCTGGGGTCTCATTTATAAAACTGTACGAAGGAAAGACGTCCTGCGCAGATTCCCCTTTATAAATCACAGTCAGTGTGAAATGTGGCCCCTGTGAGGGAGCGCCACGTCCGGCCCTCCAAACGCCCACAGCTGCCTGTAAACGCTCAGTGAAGCTCGTTAATATTAATGCGTCCTGACTGCAGGCAGACTCTGAATCTAACTCAGTGACGCTGACGCTCCTTTTGGTGAAGCTGAAGCTGTTTGTGCACCGGAGGAAAGGGGCCCCGGAGCCCCGCCCCTTTATAACCGATCTGCAGGAAGGGGCCTCCCTCTGAGCAGTGACGTCGCTGGCTGGAGGCGGGACGACCCAGGTACTGATCCCTTTGTAAAGACAGGAAACCAAATGACTTCCTCTGAGTTTAAACATTTATTCACACAAGCATTCGAGGAGGCGTACGCACGTTTATAAAGGAGACCCCTGGTCTGGCCTGACCCGGTCTGGTCTGAGGTCAGGATGCAGAGCATGACGAGGTGGGTGGGGCTTATGCAGGTGAGTTGCAGGTTGTCAGAGTGAGGCTTTGCAGGAAGTGTAGAGGTGTGAGGTCACCACGCAGGTGTGTTTAACATGTTTCAGTCCTTTTAAATCAGAGTATGGTTTTTATTACCACTGAAATATTCATGTCCTCAGGTTTGATTCCTTTTGTAGCTTCCACACCTGCCAGGACACCCGTCTCCAGGTGTACATGTTGTCGACTCACCGACTCTGCAAGTCTTCAGGTTCAGCTCTGCGGTGTGTTGGCAGCGTTTAGAGTCTCAGAAGCTCAGTGAGCCCAGAACAGCTGAGAGCCGACCAGGTGCAGCGTGGCCGCGAGGACAGAAGTCAGTGTCGATCACTGAAGCTCACGAGCTGCAGCTGTTCACAAGAAGCAGCAGCCTCAGAGGGTGATGTCAGAGGAGCGCAGGTGATGTCAGAGGGTGATGTCAGAGGAGCGCAGGTGATGTCAGAGGGTGATGTCAGAGGAGCGCAGGTGATGTCAGAGCAGCGCGGGTGATGTCAGAGCAGCGCGGGTGATGTCAGAGGGTGATGTCAGAGCAGCGCGGGTGATGTCAGAGCAGCGCGGGTGATGTCAGAGGGTGATGTCAGAGCAGCGCGGGTGATGTCAGAGGGTGATGTCAGAGGAGCGCGGGTGATGTCAGAGCAGCGCGGGTGATGTCAGAGCAGCGCGGGTGATGTCAGAGGGTGATGTCAGAGCAGCGCGGGTGATGTCAGAGCAGCGCGGGTGATGTCAGAGGGTGATGTCAGAGCAGCGCGGGTGATGTCAGAGGGTGATGTCAGAGGAGCGCGGGTGATGTCAGAGGAGCGCGGGTGATGTCAGAGGAGCGCGGGTGATGTCAGAGCAGCGCGGGTGATGTCAGAGGGTGATGTCAGAGGGTGATGTCAGAGGAGCGCGGGTGATGTCAGAGGGTGATGTCAGAGGAGCGCGGGTGATGTCAGAGGGTGATGTCAGAGGAGCGCGGGTGATGTCAGAGGGTGATGTCAGAGGGTGATGTCAGAGGGTGATGTCAGAGCAGCGCGGGTGATGTCAGAGGGTGATGTCAGAGCAGCGCGGGTGATGTCAGAGCAGCGCGGTGATGTCAGAGCAGCGCGGGTGATGTCAGAGGGTGATGTCAGAGCAGCGCGGGTGATGTCAGAGCAGCGCGGGTGATGTCAGAGGGTGATGTCAGAGCAGCGCGGGTGATGTCAGAGGGTGATGTCAGAGGGTGATGTCAGAGCAGCGCGGGTGATGTCAGAGCAGCGCGGGTGATGTCAGAGGGTGATGTCAGAGGGTGATGTCAGAGCAGCGCGGGTGATGTCAGAGGGTGATGTCAGAGCAGCGCGGGTGATGTCAGAGCAGCGCGGGTGATGTCAGAGGGTGATGTCAGAGCAGCGCGGGTGATGTCAGAGGAGCGCGGGTGATGTCAGAGGGTGATGTCAGAGCAGCGCGGGTGATGTCAGAGCAGCGCGGGTGATGTCAGAGGGTGATGTCAGAGGAGCGCGGGTGATGTCAGAGGGTGATGTCAGAGGGTGATGTCAGAGGGTGATGTCAGAGCAGCGCGGGTGATGTCAGAGGGTGATGTCAGAGCAGCGCGGGTGATGTCAGAGGAGCGCGGGTGATGTCAGAGGGTGATGTCAGAGGAGCGCGGGTGATGTCAGAGGGTGATGTCAGAGGGTGATGTCAGAGCAGCGCGGGTGATGTCAGAGGGTGATGTCAGAGGGTGATGTCAGAGGAGCGCGGGTGATGTCAGAGGGTGATGTCAGAGGAGCGCGGGTGATGTCAGAGGAGCGCGGGTGATGTCAGAGGAGCGCGGGTGATGTCAGAGGGTGATGTCAGAGGAGCGCGGGTGATGTCAGAGGGTGATGTCAGAGGAGCGCGGGTGATGTCAGAGCAGCGCGGGTGATGTCAGAGGGTGATGTCAGAGGAGCGCGGGTGATGTCAGAGCAGCGCGGGTGATGTCAGAGGGTGATGTCAGAGGAGCGCGGGTGATGTCAGAGGGTGATGTCAGAGCAGCGCGGGTGATGTCAGAGCAGCGCGGGTGATGTCAGAGGGTGATGTCAGAGCAGCGCGGGTGATGTCAGAGGGTGATGTCAGAGGAGCGCGGGTGATGTCAGAGGAGCGCGGGTGATGTCAGAGGAGCGCGGGTGATGTCAGAGCAGCGCGGGTGATGTCAGAGGGTGATGTCAGAGCAGCGCGGGTGATGTCAGAGGGTGATGTCAGAGGAGCGCGGGTGATGTCAGAGGGTGATGTCAGAGGGTGATGTCAGAGCAGCGCGGGTGATGTCAGAGCAGCGCGGGTGATGTCAGAGGGTGATGTCAGAG